TGGGTCGTGAATCCTGCTAACCACCAATGCACACGAAGCTGTGTGTTGGTCCAACACCTTATCAGGCTTCGAGAGAAATCGAAGGGAGTTCACGTATTTTGAAACTACGCGACCTAACCAAATTCACGAAGATTTAAAATCAGAAAATCCTTGATAACATTCAATTAAGAATCGGCGCCGAGGAGAAGACGAAACAGGAGACAGGAGAAGAATACATAAATCGTAGCTTCATACGAAGACGTAGAAGACATTTCAACAGATGGAAAGATAATATTAAAAAGGTCCTTAATGTAAACGCGTGTGAGGGTTTTGACTGGAGTCGACTTTTCCAGGATGGGATCTCGCGACATTAACAGGTGAGGGAATTTATCGATTAAGTTAAGTGAGTATTAAGCTTCAGAAGAACTCTGCTCATGGAATTAATTATTCGTACGACATCAACAAAATATAAACACAAAATTCAAATTAACACATACAAATAATAATTCAAGAAAGCTTATTAAATGAAGTTGTGAACAAGATACCTTAATTATGAGACAAAGGGTAAGTTACGTAATAAATTTACTAAAGAACGTACCAGGAACAATACAAAATCCAGCTTTCTGCTCGTATTCACATTACAGAAAGCCAAAGCTACACGTTAATATCAATTCTGACGAAACATGTTACAGTAACCACTGTTTGCTCGTCTTGAGAAAAACATAAATTAGAGCTCAGTCAACTTCCGTTTCGTTCACAGAAGGCGCGATAGTCGAAGCCTTCAGACGTGCAAGGGATCTACGAATTTAAACACGTGAAACGCATTTCTTAATCACACAATTAAAAAAAAATCTAATCAAATTACGTTATTCAGACAAATATAACATTAATAAAATCTTTTTAATTTGGGAAGGAGACAAAACAAAGAGCTTATGATCAAACCCTGTTCAAACTCTTTTATTTCCTGACTTAATAACACTGGAAGCATATATATATATTTTTTCCAATACATTTTACACTTTAATCTGCAAAGTTAATTATCACGTCTTCGGTGAATCTTGAAATATGTGGCGATTCTGAAAATTAAAACGTACCTATTCGAATTTGGCGCTACAAAATCTGGAACAACTTCTTCAGTTCAACCATGAGCTGCCAGTCTGTTTTCACTAAGTCGTCTCGAAAGTAATCCTTGCAGGCATCTATCGACTGTCGACTGATCTGTAATCCAAGAAGTATACATCATCAGTACCACTCTGCGTATAACACACGTGGACTCGACGCGCGCCTCTCTCCAGAAGCCAAGACGCACGAAGACGCCAGTAACCACTCTCCTTCATGACGATCCACTGCAGATATTTGTGCTTTTAAAAAAAATCTACAATGTGCCAAAGTACAGTTTCTATCTGGAAACAAAATCCAGTGGGAACTCCCCAACTAAGCGAAATACCTGCTTGGCCTCGGGGAATCCTCAATCCTGACACCCAACTGACGCAGGTAAGAATATTCTATCGAGAATCGTCAGTGACACTGGAAAATCGCACGAATGTTTCCTAGGAAGGAGAGAGATCACTTTAAAATTGACAGCGGGACCATGGAATCGGCCCCGTTCTCTAATAACACGCGTGTTTTACAGCAAAGTCATTCAATTCGTCATAAAATGTTGATGATAAGTTTTCGGACCTTGTCCATCGTCTGATGTTAAAATGAGTTTGTTGATAACTTTACAGAACTTATGACAATAACAATTAAGAGTTATGGTGGCTGCTTAAGGTGACCCTCGATGCATGTTTCCGCACGTCGGATCAGGTGCTGGAGGTCTCTTTCAGGCAGAAAAAAAAACGCTCATCTGTCAAGTCACAATTCGAACAATTTCTCTCGGGACGACAATCCACGGCATTTGAAATCCATTCGTCGAAACCCCACATTTCGATTCTGAGAGGACGCCTGTGATTCGGGAACAAAAGAATACGAGTCCCTTGTTCATCGATAAATTCGTTCAATTTGATTGTCTTCGTGGTAACACCGAATACGTCTGAACCAACTCCGTAGTCACCTACAGATGTCAGCAGAGTAAGGGCCACCGTTTGCTTGTTTGAAAACGTCTGCTGCCCGGAGGCACGGATCACACCGGATGTCCATAACTTTGAGCATCTGCTGTAACTATTAATTATTATGACCACTTTTGTAAAGTTACCAACAAACACATTTGCTCACAACTCACGAACAAGTCGTGTGCCGACCGGCATCCACAGGAACTTCTTTCAACGTCTCAACGCGTGGTATACGTCCGACCCAACATTTCTGAAACACCCTGTATGTTGTATTAGGTTATTATGGAGTTGCAATGTAGTAGCCCGCGTTTCCACACATCAACTTACACTCTTATTCTGATTCGAAGGCGTAATACTACGTCCGATCGTCATATTGTGGCCTTAATAATAAGAATAACATTACGAAACGTGCGCGGAGGCGGATAATAATGTTTTATCCGCAAAATAATGAACCTCTCGGTCCCGCTGAAGATGTGAAATTTGTTTCCTGCTCTCTTCTCGAGAACTCTGCTCCGTGTAATTTACGAGTGGATAAACACAAATGACAAATTACATTTAAATCTGTTGTATAGCTTGAGCACGAAGGGACGGCCGGACCTTCCCATTACACGTTCACTTTACGCAAACAATACGAGAAGGTTAGACACGCAATGAATAATTTTAATGCGCGTAATATATCAATGATTTAAAATGATACAACGCGGTTTACTGATGATTCTTTATTTAATGAAGGAATTAATTATCGATGTTACAGGGATGTTGTTGAACGGCGTGCCAAGATATCAAATCGAGTATAAAGCAGCAGGGAGGAACACAAAACACCCGAGAGGTTCATTTGAAATATAAAGACGTATCAGTACACTCTGTGGAAACTTTCGTCCAAGTCAGGGTCAAATCTCTTAACCTCGTGTTTTCTAGCGGAAAACTCTGCCAAGTGTGCCGCCGGCTAATTTTGTCCTGGACGCCAATTTCACGTCTAATTTTGTGTTACTGAGTCGATTCCGCCACGGCGGAAATCCTCCTTCAAATGGGAATGAGGTCCACTGGCTGGGGTAGCCGAACTGCACTCGTCGAATTCACAAAGTGCTCAGGTCTTTGCCGACGGAAGACCGCGGCATAATTACGAATTACTAATCAGCAGGCTGCCTCTTGGAGGTGGGGGGGAGGAGACAGGAATCTTACTCAAAATTTCGAAATAACTCTTCCTTCGCATTTGCGAGAACCAAGGTTCAAATATAGTCCACCAAGACCGGGACAACTTCGTGGTATTCCTCAGTTTCACCACAGACAACCGGAGACAGTACTTTTAACGTGGTATGACCGCCTCTCGATAAACCCTTTGCAATTCATGGCCCACATACAATTACTGTCGTCACAAAAAAACCATCGCCATCGTGGTCCATCTGAACCTTGTACATCACCAACACCCTCTGAAACCATTTATTATAAAAATTCCATCAATTCCTGTATGAGCCAATGGGTTCGATCCCCTGAAGTTTTCTGACTAATGTCTGATACATGCTCCGTCTATCTCATACTTTATTTGATAATGTTAATAATATTTAATAAAGAGTACAGTCTTTATATTTCTCACACTTTCCCCAGACACCCTCAATCCGTCGTAAGTTAGCAACACGCGTGTATACACGCACGTAAGAATGATTGGGTCTAGCTAACCGTGAACACGAAACTGGTGCAAACCGCCTGAGCTAAACCAGAGTTCCAAACACAATCTCCACAGTTTGATTACATAACGTTTTACGTCAGCTGATAATGCATTCTTGCATAAAGGCAGCTCTCTTCCTGGAAATCATGTTTTCGTACAAACACAATAAGATCAAACACGTATAAATTTAAAAAAACCACGAAAATAACTTGCGCCTACGACAACGAACTCGGCCCACATTTTCAAGTTTTACGGTTCTGCGACCCGTCAAGACATCTGTCTCGTTACAAGGTAAGAACACGTACTGAAGAAAGGATAATATTAAAATGGTTCTCTGAGACACAGACGGACAGCGTCGACTCAGATCAGTTACTATCGAAAAGGAGTCACGGGCGGAGTTCTCCGAATACAGCAAAGGAATTTGTTGACTAGTCGATTAACTATCGACTTTTCAATGAAGACCACGCACAAGACATTCGGATAGGAACCAACTTGTTTCGTATATGTAAATAGACTTTGCCAATTATCCTGCATGCGCCATATGTACTTACTAACTAAGTAATAAGTGCCTTTTTATAGGTCACGATAACCTCCTTCCAAGTCCTTACTATCCATCATTCACTATCCTAGCTGCAAGCCCATTCAATGCCGTTCCCATAAAAAAATAAATCATGTACTGAATTAACAGACCGAGTTTTTAACCCATTCCTGTCAACGCATCCCTAAATTCAAGATTCCCTCCCCTCAATTTTACTTGTAGAATTCAGATTTCGTAAACAAAATTAACTCCGTTCTCCCTCTAGACATGATAGCTGTCCAGTATCCGTCCCCCGTTACGAACTCCATGTTAAAAGTTATAGTAGCCGTCATGAAATTGGATGTTTCAAGGTCACTGAAGGCCTTCGGGCATGCGCACTCTCCCTGAGCGGTCTTCGCTCGCCTCGGCTCCGCTGTACAGTTTTGTTGTGACCTTGAAACACGCTACAAGCCCTCTGCGCGCACATCAATAGATTCTGGCAAACACTTTCCATTAAAAAACAACGAATTACAAAAATAATCTTCTTTTCTATCGTCACAGGTTTGCCAACCAAAGCGCGGGATTTCCCGTTCCGTTGTAGGCAGGAAAACAGTACTAACCAAACACAAACAAACGAAATGTTAAAATTTGTAAACCGTCGTCGCTTGAAGACGTCTCAGGCTACAGAACAATCAGCACTCTTCGAAGCTCTCATTTCGAAGAAATGACACCGGAATAATGTTTACCACAACGTCGAAGTCCAAGGCAGGTACCGAAACGTCGGGAGAAGATCAGGATCCCGGTCGCTGCTCAGTCAATTCATTTAAAGACGGGGATAATTACGTACGTCGAAGAAACGAGGCGTCATCACCGCAAAACCCGAGCGCTCGTAGAGAATTTTTTTAAAAAAAAAAGGTTGGAGAAATAGGTTAAGTCTCACTGAATGACCTTGGTTGCTGGATGAATCCAGTTGCTTGTGCGAACATGTAAAGCAGAGAGAGTCCGTTTCAAGGTCAGGCGCGCATGTATGAATGGAGAGCGAAGCACGTGCCAGATCGATACAGGACACTCAATGGCCCTGCCCCGAGATGAATGAATTGCAACACACAAATCTCATCCACCATTCTCCTGTGTTCAGACGCGAGCGAAACTTCGCGAGGCACGAAGCCAATTTAACGACGTCAGACGCAAACACAAATTCCGCTGAAATTCGCTGTCATTTGTTTTTACGTCGCACGATTCAAGGTGTGACACGCGAATCAGAACCTTACGGGCACTTAGCAACGCAGATCCACCCATTATCAGCCATCACCAACTAGATCCTATTTCTCTCCGCGGACAGGAGATCTGGGCTCGATTTCCCACGAGACGTGTCCACAAAAACACACCAAGAAACCAAACACAGAGTCCACACCCCCGTTATATATTTTTTAATATTATGCTGTCATCTACAACAGTAATTGGATCTTTGTTTATCACCTGTTCTCCCACTCTCCAGACATTTTAGTCTCCTCTAATCCTCAAACGGAACTCAGGCAGAAAGATTTCGTAAGAAAGCCACGCCCATTTGAATATTTAGCGTATCTATTACCACGCACAAAACTACATAACCTCACTCCCACTTAGCGCTGATGTCCAATCACCTCAGCGATTCGCACAGCTATCATGTTGGTACTACTGACGACAAAATGATTAGGTGCACGAAGGCTGGATGGTCTCCAGGGGCACGATGTTCATACCAAGTTTAATCAAAATCTGTCACTTGGTTCAAAAATAAATACACGTGGACATGGCATGAGACAACATTTGCTTAAAAAATAAGACAGCCCAAAATATGTCCCTAAGAAATGAGCGCGTCAGGTCCTGTTTCGACACGATACGGGCTGATTCTTGTCTCCAGACCGAGAACGCGGCAGGATTTCATAAAAACTGAACACCTCCTTAGCGATGAATTACGAACTCCTTTGTTTATTACGCAAAAACT